TATGAAAACATCGATACGCAGACAAAGTTGATTGTGAATGAGTGATTGAAGCTTGACTACAGAGACAAAAAGACATAGGTTTTCAATGATCTTCTTTCAGATACACTATGTCACATATCAAAAATTCTAGTTTCAATTTTATTCATTTCATGAAAACTGGGATTCTAACATCTAGAACCGTTTAAATAGCGACTGTATTAATTAAAGAATTATGCATGGTCTACGTATCTTGCTGCCAGATAACTGTTTTTTTTTCTAGAGACGAACGCAACTAGCATCATTTATCTACATTAAAGACAAATTTGCCTAGTTCCTTTTCCTTATATGTCAGCTTATTCAGAGTTTCCATATGTCGACTGTCATTGATAAATGGAAAACACTTGTAGACAGAACTAAGAGCTGTTAATCATCTATTTAGGATACTAACCTCCAGATTTTATCAGTCATTAGAATTTTTACGCTTATGATTAACTTCTCGTTAGGTCCTTCATTTTAGCTCTGAAGATAATCATTGTTCTCGACCATTTCTAAACATCTCAGCTTGTTCTGTCTATAAGATTGTAGACTGTAGAAAAGAATTCCAACCTTTCAATAACAATACATAAACTATCCTAAATGGTGCTTTAAAAGTTTCGATTCCTCTCAGTAAATCGATAACATTTATAACAAATTGATATAAAGTTAATTGATCAAAATATGTAATTCTGTCGAAATAAAATTAGAGTTATCATCTGAAAAAAAAACAGATATTTCTAAACACATAAATGTACTACAAAGTTATGATCATTTTACTAATCTTGAATCAACATTTTTATCATAAATTTTTTGAGAAAAATTTAAAAAAATTTTTTTATAATAGTTGTACGGTTTTATCTCAGAAAGATTTTTATAATATTTGTCATTTTAATGGAATAATATTCATCATATTTGCTCACTATGCTTGTAACTTTATAACATTATTCATATTGTTAAAAAGCTTTCATATTGACAGTCTTATTTTATGAAGTGTATCGTAATATGCTAGTTGTTTAGATTTATCTTTTCGATAGTTTTTACAATTTTATTTAAAAAAAATTTTTTGTTTTTGTTTATTTTTAAGTCAAATATAATGTACTTATTATATAAGAATGAAATAAAATATAAAAGTTGACTTTTATCGATGATATCGTCTGTTCGATTTATTTAAATTTTAATGTTTATATTATAAACAGACAAATCCGTCAGTTTTGATAATATTTGATAAACATAAATCGAAAAATAGATTGTGTTCATCCTTATGTTGACAATAACAGATTAAATGGTGTGGGTATATGTTTATAACAACTGTCAATCACACTTATAACTGATAACCATTTGAACTCAATTAACTTTTTAGTTTTTTGAGTAGTAGACTAGATTTAGTTGAAATAGTAATCATTTTAATTTGATTGACATGTTTAATCAAATAGATGAAAAATACACGTATGTGTAACTTTCTTACTTTAGAAAAATCTTCTGTAAATATTGTTTTTTCTTTTTGTAATTATTTATCTGCAAACAAAGCTTATTTGTATTGATGTATCAATGGTTCTTTATCTATGTTAACAGCTACGAACGAAATATGAAAATCACAATCATTGTCTGTGAAAATATCTCTATCAAGTATACAAAGTTTTGAATTCAACTTGTGTTTTTCTTTTTGAAAGTTTTATAATAGAGTAAGTCGATCAATAATTGCTACTCTTATAATCATCAACTATATTTATAACTATCAATCATGATTATAACTTTCGATTTGTGAACTTTTTCGTTTATGATAACTAATCAACGTCATTTTTTAATGTTACTCATGATTTTAAACTCTTAGTTGTTAAAAGTATTAGTCAAATTCATATCGCTTAATAAGGTACGTTTACAATAGCTTGTCTCTTCAGAATGATGTAACAAATATTTCTCTCTGTTTTTGACTTATGCGAAGACCATGGATGCATTTTTTTTTGTTCTTTTAATCCCGTTGCTCGCTTTGCTTTCTTTATTCGTTCGTTTCTCTTCTTTGCTCATTGATAAATCAACTAGAAAAAGCAGAATATAATATCCGTAGTTATGTATGTATAGAATTGAATAGATAATAATCTCATATAATGATTTCGTGTTTGACATAAAACATATTTAATTATAATTCACTATGAAAATGATCTAAATTTCATTACAACCTATATTGAAAGTGATTGCTATCTAAAAAGTATAAAAATTAGATGAGAATAATTTCAATTCTTACACATATTCTTCTCAATTGCTCATAATTTCAAGATTATCATTTATCGTACAACGAAAAATCAAACAAATCAAAATGAATACTCTTTCAACTTAACCTAATCTATTCAAAATTAAATATTATATCAAAATCAACTCATTACTGGCTATAACTATGGTTGAATAGTTACAATCTTGGTTGATAATAACAATCCATTTTAATTTTTGAGTGTTTTTCTCAACTATAAACTTTTTCGAAAATAGTTGTAATTTTCACACTGAAAAAAAAAGCGTGACCCAATTAATAAATGATTATCATCAGATATCTGCGAGACAGTCAAAAAAGTCACCCCACCACTTCCTTGTTCAATTCTGTTAAAAATCCATTTCGAAAGACCATTTTTTCCCCAAATTTTTCAATCAATTTTCACAAACGACGATCTTTGGTATATACATCCTGTGTAAATAGAATCATGCCTAAACTATATATATATATATATATATATAAATCAAGCAAATTTTATTTTATCACAAGCATTTCATAATTATAGTATACATACAAATAATAACGGTCTAGACGAGAATTCCATATATACATATTCTATAATGTGTATATTGTTGAAAGATCATTTTGCCAATAGTAATGCGTAGAAAAAACATTTATAAGGAAATTAGGATATGTCTTTAGGGTCTGGTTGTATTCAAAAACAAATGACAGTATTGTCTGGAGACGAGGAAATTGCAAAATCTTGCGGTGCATTGCTCCACCCCGCCCCAAGATGGAGTGGGGGGTGGAGCGATTTTCGGATCTCTTGTCATGATCATAACGTTTTTCATTATAAATCGTATTATCAATAGAAAGAATTTGCATAAAAGAAAAAAAAATATTAATTTAACAAATGATAAAAATAATTCAAATTTTATATACAATAATATTATTTAGTTTTGCTGAATGTTTTTTTCCTACGTATAATATTATTAGGGGGGAAAAACAAAGAAAATATACAAACAAAAAAAAAAAATTATGAATTATTTATTAGTAATAAATATTCTCCTTGATGAAATACTAATTCTATGTAAGATTATTTATCAGTGTTTCGTATTATTTTTCTTTTTTTCATTGTTTTATGAATGATCTATAAAAAATATTTATATAAAATATTTTGTCTTATATTAATGATTGAAACTTTGAAAAATTATATATTTAATCATTTTCTTTTCTATTTTTTTGTTATTATTTAATTATCCAAAATCTAATAAAAGTATTCAACAAAGCACGATCTTATTGATCTAATTATACGTTTATACATGTACTGTTGTAATAAATCTATCACAATTATCAACGTTGAAGTAAAATGTCATTTGACATATGGAACCTTCTCTAACAAAGACAAATGGGAATATGTCATAAGTGATTTTCTTCTCTGTGAAATACTTGTTTATTATGTTTTTTCAACCATTTTATGATATACGGCGATAAGTCAAAATAATATACACATAATATATTATTTATTTTCGAATAGTAATTTTCTTTTGATCATCAGTATGATACTTTCGAACGAGACTAAAATTCATTTCTCGATTCAATTTTACAATTCGTCGATCAGTCGAAGAAAATAAAGAATCGAACGCATATAAGTACTATTCGGAATTTGACACACACAGACACACATTTCCATTCTACTTTTGATTGTATGAGAACTGACAACGAGAGAGAAATAGAAAAGAATAGAATAACAGCGACGTCATCAGCGTTTCCGCATGCCGGCTAGATAATTTATTCCGAGAGATAGATCGGAGATTCTCGAGAAAAGCAAAAAAAAAAAGATTGTCTCTATTCTTATGCATTAGAGCATAGAGTTGCCACGATAATAGACCATCACATCTTTTGTTTCCGAGATACGTGTGTGTGTGTGTGTATTTTTTTTTATTATAAAACAAAGGTCAAATGGTAAATCCATTGATTAATAATTGAACTTAAATGATAATTTAATTTAGATGACACAATCAAATGAATTTTGGAATGAAAAAATGAAACATCTCTTTCATCTTTATGGTATTTAATATAAAATTATTTTTAAATAAAAACAAATATATATTTATTTAGATATTGATAATGATGGTTCAATAACTCCACGTGATTTTGAAATACTTGCTAGTAAACTTTCAACACTTGTTGGACAAGATGATATAAAACGACGTGAAGATTATGCAAATGCACGTAAAACTCTTTGTCAAGAAATTATGAGAGCTGATGCTAATCAAGATGGAAAAGTAACATTAGGTAAATATTCAAAAACTACTTTTTTTTTTTAAATGAAATATTCTCGTGTTGTTTGTTTTCTGTTTTCAGAAGAATGGCTCGATTTTCATCAACATCTTGCAAAAGAATTACAAAAACCAGATACTGATCCAGAAATTTTAGAACAAATAGCTCAACGTATAAATACAACATTTCATATGCTTGATTTAAATCATGATGGTTATATAGCAAAAGATGAATGGGTTAAAACATGTCAATTTTTTGGTGTTGATAAAACAACAGCAGAAAAATCTTTTCAACAATTAAGTAAAGATGATAAACTTGAAGAAGATAAAGCAAAACATCTGTTTTTTGAATATCTTAAATCCAATGATCCTAATCATATATCTAATTGTTGTTTATGTTTTCTTTAATTATTATTATTATTATTATTATTATTATTATTACAATAATATTAGAACTTTATATGATCCAATATATATCAATGTTGTTTGTGTATTTGTAATTATGTTGTCTTTTTCTTTTTCTTATCCTTGGATTTTCGTATTGGTCCATATTTGTAGACCGTACATGCAATAACAATTGAAGTATTAAGTATTAAACTAACAAATAAATTTAAAACCATACTCTTATCATGTGTTTCAATAAGATTTGTCAGTATACGAGCTAAAAATAATATTCAATTAGGTTATTCAAAAAAAAAAACAACAACAAGATCGAAAATGAATAATATACCAAAATTATTGTACGAAGCTATTATCCAAACAGATCGATTAACTTGACCAGCATTTTTATTAATTAGAATAGTTTGAAGTTGAGCTATTTTTGATGTAGCACTAATTGGAATCACAAATATCTATCGAATAGATAACGATGAATTTAGCGATTATTACAAATAGAACTTTTTACCGTGCACATACGCATCCATGATGTTGGTACAAGACCCATGAGACTCATTAAAAGATAGAGACAAAATCTATTCAAATTTTATTAATATATATATATAGTCTGATGTTAGATCCTTACATAGCTATTCCATATAATGGAGTCGATCGATCATTCAATTTATCTTTTTCTTTTGAATCTGTTGTTGCATATTTTGATAATGCCCATAAAAGAAGTAAATCTATGATATTTAACAAAAATCAGAAAATAAAAACTTATTTGAATTCTTTCTCAACCTTGTATAAAAAGAAATATATATTCAAAAAATGTTAATAATGGATAATTTCGCCAAAGATTATAAGTTAATATCAATGTATAACTAAATTTTTAAATCATAAACAATTATTTATTTATTTATTTATTTATTTATTGATATTATCTTACGCTGTTTCTTCAAGTAATACAGATGATATTGATATACTTTCAACATTTTTTGTTTTATAAATTTGATAAATTTGTGGAACTTTCTGTATTAAACATAGAATATTAACCGATAGACTAATTAATTGTAACAAGACCATTTTCTTCTTTTTTTTTTGTGGTTTAAAAAAATAAAATGAAATTATTGAAAGTTAATATTATTCTATGGATATCTTTTTCTTTTTTTTTTTTTTGATCAGATTTTTTATCTTGAGAAAATTTCCATCTGGAAATAAGAGCAAATCTATTCTTTTTATCCTTCTATGATGAGTTGTCTTTTAATAAGTAATTCATTGATGATTAACGATGATTTATGTAAATCTTTTTTCATTCTATTTTTGTTCTCATACTATTACTTTAAATTGTCTAGTAAATCTATTGTGAATTGAATGACGACATTACTTGTTAATGAGTCTTTTCTTATTTCTTTAGTGATCTACATTTTCTTTTTTTTTTATCAAGGTCATTTGTTGTCTATTATTTTTTAAAGTATTAATTCTAAAACATGACACTCTATTCATTAAATATAAATACATATGGATGTGTAATATTAATGAAATATTCTTTATATAGATCATAATTCGAATGAATATGAATTATGAATTTATAGACATAGATTTATTTAGTATAGAAAATAGAATTATTCATTTTAGGAATTTTATAATATCTTGCTAATATTTAAAATTTAGTGTTTGTTTATTATTATTTTTTATTTTAGATTAGAAAAAAATCATTTGAAAACAAAAAAAAAAAATAATGTTCCATCTGTTTTGCCAAGGTCAAATAAACTTGTCTTGTTATTTAAAACTCTGATGTTTTTTTTTCTCAAGCTTTCATTCTTTTTGCACTTAGATATTGAATTAACTGTTGTTCGAGAAGATGAAGTCTGTCAAGAACAGAAAATCGACATGATTGATTTATAATTATCACTTAGAAACAATGATAAGCTTTAGTTTCTCGGTGATCGTTCGTTGTCGGCTAAACAAAAATATATAACTTAATGAAAATATAATTGTTTTTTTCTATGTGATTATATAAAAATTTAGATATATATTATATTTTTCTTTTTAAAATAATTGTTATCTATTTATAATATATTATTGAAGCAAAGCTATAAGATCAACTAGAGTAATGAAGCATAAAAATACAAAGATTCCCATGGGAAATCTCTATTGATAATATCAATAAATCAAAATCAATAAATTTAGTGGAATATCGAAAATAAAATCGTCAATGACATGTCTGCCTTCAGTATCAAAGAAAAAAAAAGTTATTGATCAATATATTCGTTCTAATAATCAGATATTGCTTAAAGGCATCAATGAAAAACATGTAGACAATCTACAGAGATATGACATTCTTCAATTATCTATTCCTTTTACTTTAATGAAATTTAGCAAAAACTAGTATTTATAATATGATCACAACTCTATTAAGTATACTAGTGATATTGATAAGTTCCTTACCAATGATAATACATCTCAAATAATGAATCGATCAGCTAAATTCCCCCTCAAACATCGATTTTGAGTGAAATGCATTCAAATTATATGAAATCTTCAGCCCTATATGATCACGTTTTTTTGAGATATTCAATAGGCAAGGGTCAAAATATAGTTCATTTAGTAACCATAAATTCTCTACGGATCCTCATTCTATAGATTTAATTTTTTATATTTGAAAGGGCATGTCAGATGGTAGAGCCTGACAGGGCTTCTTTTTTATTAATATTTACTTTTAATGCGCAGAAAAAGGATATGACAAGTTTAATACCTCAAAAAATGGTTATCTATTTATAGAAGTGTTTTTTTATATATATAATAATTAAAAAAAAGCTTAACGTACTCTTTCAAAGTAAAAGAAAAGCAATTAGCTACAATAAAGTTTCTTCGAAAATTCTTGAGTGTGCAATCAACAAAGTACAAACAGAGAAAAGGTGAAAAAGATTTCTCAGTTTTTCTATATACAATCTATTTTTCAAGCAAATGATGATAGAAATCATCAAGAATTTTGACAAACAAGAAAAATGTCGAATAAAAAATCATATCGTTTATGAAAGATCAAACCTCGAGCTATCATCTCAATTTCAATAATTCGGACGAAAATTGATTTATTTTTGAGGGAGTAGAGACAGGCAGCTTAACAGCATGAATGTAAATCAAGCAGAAAATAATTATTTATTCGGTAAAACATAAAGTGAAAAGTAGAAAATTAAAAAAAATATCAATAAACTTGAGTGGTTTTTAATGAGAGAGTAATGTTTTTTTGTTATTTCTTCTACAGATGAATGAGTAAAATTTTAATTTATGATACAATATAATATTCGTTGTAGTTTATCATATGAGAGATGAAATAGTTCAATTTGATGTGTATAGAAAGAAATATCTGCAAAGTAAGGTATACAAAGTTTCTTTTTTTTTGCAAACAACTGTATCTTAGCTATTAATGATTTTATTGACTAATACAGTTCGAAGAACTTTTTATTTATTAAAACTTAATTATCAATTGAAAGGCTTTCAATAAGTCAAATAAAAAAAAGTATACATGTATGAATTTTTCAAATAGATTTATCAAAAAACAAAACAAAAGAAATTTACTAATAATTTCAATACAATAGCAATTTTTAATTGAATAAATGGTTGTATTCAAATATTGGACAAAATGAATTTGCAAAAACAGAAAATATTGAAAATAATTTTACATTTATACAATTTTATTGCTTAAAGGGATCATTTATCTTTCTCAATCGGAGATTTTTTAGATATTTCATTTTTTTTTCCTGCTCTATAAACGTTTTGAAGTAGTCTCTATCTACCGGATATATTCCAAGAATGAATATATAGCGATCAGAAACAAAAAAGTGAAATAAATAGAACATTTTCACTGTTTTTGAAAAATAATTTTTGTTTTGGCCAAACGAAAGCTAACAATCGTTCTCGTTTCTCAATCACAGTACATTCGGTCGAGCGAAAACTTTGTTCTATTGATAGTAGAAATTATTTAGGGTGCCTAGTTTTGTTTTTGTTACAAAATGTGATGTACC